AATGTCTCGGGCGGCAGGACAACATCCAGGGTTTTTAAGGCCAGTTCTCAGTTGTAATTGGTTCACTGCTGTGTTTCAGGTGATGATGAGCTGTCCAGTCCCTCCCAGGATGCAAGCACTGGATTAGAGGACGTCATTGAGCAGCTCAACAATTCCTTCCCTCACAGCCAAGGTGAGAGTCCAGCTACACTGTCTGCTACAAACACTTCCTTTAATCCAGCAAACTGATGCAGAGAGTCTCAAATTGGCCAAAAAGTATGCACTTTTTTTTTTGCATTCTCATTTGCTCCAATACTTGATAAAAAAAAAAAAAACTTTGTTAATGCCTGGAAACTGGTCATCACAGTCTATGATTGCATTGCATGTATTGCAGTAGTTTAAGGTGCCAGTGCAAATTGACAGTTATTTTAAGATATAGTACTATTTTTTTTATAGGATTCCTTTTTAAGCAATATGGAGAAAAATATTAATTTGCAATGAACACCACCTGTAAATTTCTCTGACCCACTGCTTTTCTACTCTTTGCATGATTAAATTGCTATGTGACACTTTGTTTCTACGTCCTGCTATAAACGGATGACGGGGGACTATTTTAGTATAATAACATATTTAAAAAAATGACTTTTAAATGACAGAATGAGTCTTCAACTGTAAAGAAATTCTTAACATTGATGTACATTCTTCTTAAGCTGTTTCTCTTTTTAACAGTGACTCTTAACAGGATATGTATTGTGAGAAGCACAGAATTGCAAATGCATAACAATCCAAAAAAAACGTATGTTTATGTAATTAAAGCATTAAACACCATCTTGTTGCATCCATTGTGCTTGCGGTACAAATCCTGTTTAGATTCAGTCTATAACTGCCTATCCCTATTCCAACTTTACTGATTTTTCTTATTTTCCTCTGTGTCTAAGGAGGTGGACGGCTAAACCCATGAGAGGTTAGTATCGTTACTAACCCTTTACTCTTTTCACTCTTTTCCAGCCTTACTTATCCACTTTACACTATGGTTTGAAGACGTTTCTTAAGTTCACCAAAGCTGCTTTTATTTAGTCAAAAATACAGTATAAAAAAGTAACATTGTAAATGATTATTACTGTTTAAAGTAACTCTCTTTTTCTATTTGAATATATTTTAAATAAACACATTAATTCCTGTGATGGCAAAGCTAAATTTTCAGTGTCACATGATCCTTCAGAAAGCATTCTGCATTTGCTGCTCAAGAAACATTTTGATAAACAGTTGTGCTAATTTTTGTGAAACAACTGTGATGTATTTTTGATGAATATATCCAGGTTTTTTGATGAATACAAAGCATTTATTGATTTTGTAGCATTATAAATAGTCTTCTGTTACTTCGAATCAATTTCATCAAAAAAAAAAAAATGGACTCATAAGGACTTGCAGACACAAACGCACTCTGTTGCTCTATAGAGATGTATGTGTAGCAGCGCTGCTTCGTGCATATAGTGTTAGATTGCGTTTTCAGACACTGACGTCAGATTTTGTTTTTGGTCTCCCGCAGGTCCTAATGTGGGAAGTCTTTTCCACATGGTTGATAACATTGGACATGCCATGGAGTCGTTGGTTAATGTAATAACTGAGGAGCGGGATTTAGACTGAAGATGTCGTCTCCTAGTTGCATGCTTTTTGTAGTGTCAGCAACTGGACAGGATATGTTTACAATGGGAATATAAATAAAAATCTATTTTTCTGAAGGATCGCGGTTCCACATTGTAGATTTGATCTTTAGTAGTTTCTTACAGCCAGTCTAGAATTGTTTATTAATTAAAAAAAAGGTTTTTAAACTTCTATGCAATTGTACAAAAATAGAACGACAGGTGTGTGATAACATGCAACATTGCGTGCCATGTCTTTGTACGGAGTGGAGCGCATTTTAAAAAAGTGTTTTATCTAAATGGGTGACTGAGTATACGCAAGGGTGCTTTATCAACTAATTTTGTTTGTAACAAAATAACAAATGCATATTAAAAGGCAAGCCCGTTATACTTGTGCGTGTGTTTGCGTGTGCGAAAGAGTGTGTTTGAAACATGTCTGTAAGTTTTTCTGTACAGTATGTGACCTGTCCCGTTCAACTACTGCTGACATCATGCAAAGAAAAGACATTTGTCATGATTTATTATTATTATTATTAAAGGCATACTGATTAAGGTTAAATACTGTCTACCTCACAGATATTCACTTTCTTCATGCTCTGTCCGTGCTTATTAATGGAGCAATAAGAAGCATGATCATGGTATTTGTATATTATTGACAACTCTCATGTTGGAGATATATATATTTTTTGAAAGCTTGTTTCCACCACGGAATAAAAAAATGACTTTTTGTCTGAATTCTGACTTTTTTTTTCTCAGAATTGTGACAAACTCACAATTGCAATTGAGTTGTGAGATTAAAGGCACAATATGTAATTTTCACCGCTAGGGGCGCGTATTCAAAACAAACAAAGAGGCAAAGGCGTAGTTTGATGACGCCGTGACGGAGTGTGGAATCATGGGAGTTGTCGTCTTCATCCCCACAGCCGATGTAATCCGATGGGACTCAGGGGCAGAAATCATGTTCATGGATGAGCTAATGATTTATTAACGTAGTAGAATGAAGCAGGGTGAGGCTGAAATCCGTCGAAGCGAAACGAGGCCTCTGAATGAACGTGACGCACGGCTCGAAAGCAGCGGAGCTTTTATTATGCCAAAGTCGACCGCTTCCACTCCTTCCGGTCGTGTGTATGTGGGGGGAAAAAAGCAGCGCTGTTTTATCATACTAGATACATTTGAAAGTTCTGTTATTATGCTACTCTGTGCGGTCTTCACCGGTCTAATAAATATTAAAGCGTCTTTGGTGTTTCCATGTTTTCTACAAAACAAAACCGGAAATCGAGGGGTTATGACGTCATTGGCAGGCGACACAATGACACGACACGGTCCGTGTCACTAGTTAAAATTGCTTATTTCTCTGGTTTTAAACATTATTTGAAACATTTGGGATAATGTAAGTACACAAGTCAGCAGAATATAACTGTTCTAGTGGTTTTTGGATATTTTAATTAAAAAAATCTTACATATTGTGCCTTTAAAAGTTGCAATTACCATTTTTATTACATGGTGGGAAGAAAAATTAAATAGAATTGTGAGATGTAAACACTGAATTGCTAAGAAAAAAAGTCTGAACTGAGTTCAAATCTCACATTTCTGACTTTTTTCTCAGAATTGTGAGGAAAAAAGTCTAAATTGTGAGATGGAAGTGTTGTAAATGGGCTTCCGTTCCTTACAGAATGAGAATTGATCTAGTGCTTCAATCATATGGTGTTAGTTGTATTTCCATTTCCAAGTAACAAATTAAGAGAAAAGTACATCCAGTCCACTTTACAGAAATGTTACAGAATTGGGGTTAAGTGTTGTTAAAAACTAAGCAGTAAGAATATTTGACAATTCTAATGAGTGAGCTCTAATAAGCATAAATGAAAGGTAGCACATACTCAGTGTTATAATAATATAATGCCTGCTTGAAAATTTTCATCTGGGGTTATTTATTGTCATTGACATCTATACATGCTAGCAAACAATAGCACTGAAAATCCATTTTTTACAGAAATGTGCAAATTTACAGAAATACACTTGAGATGATGAAATAAGAAAAATGATTCCGCTTTGCATTGTTCTTTAACATATCCGAGTTTGTTTCTGTGTGATTGAGATGTTTGTCATTTTATTAGACCTTTATGCTTTGTCTGAACACATATATAGAAATAAATGATCATAATGTATATGTATGCACAACCGTTATAACTACAAAACAGTTTTGCACCTTGGAGATGAGCATGTCCAGAGTACTGCATATTTATTTCTGAGATGAGCTATTTGATGCTAACTCTTGTTCTGGAATCATACATTTTATTTGTAATTGCAAAAGGACTATTTTACCAGACAATGAAATGTAATTGTGGTTTTCTTAACTTGCTGCTGCATTAGTTGATAAAAATGGAAATACATTTTTGCCACCGTTTGTCTGTTTTATTATGGATTCACTGTGCCACAGTGTAGGTAAATGATTGCATTATTATCTGACATACTCTGCAATATTTCAACTGAAAATGTGTTGGTGAAATTAAATTTTAGATATTAAAAAGAATGTCAAGCTACCATGTGGCTTTAAAACCAACCTGGTGGCTTAGTGTATATATGTGAAATAATAAATGAATTGAAGCAGCTAATTAATATCCTCAAAAGCACTTGATGATTTGATCAGGGTTGGTTCTGAGCTCTGCAGGTAAGTGTATCTCCAGGAACAGCATTAGACATCCATGATTTAACATCTGTCAGGAATGTAGATGCACTGTAGATCAGCAAACCTCAGGTTATCAGGTGAACAGGTGACGTGTGTGGACCAATGGTATGCCATTACAAAAGTGAAACTAAGCAGAAACGGAGAAAACCAAACAACAGATGATCAGATTTTCTTAGTAAGATCTCGGTAAGAGCTGCATTTTGGATTACATGAATGCTTCACACTTCTGTAATTGAATGGTGAGGTAAGTTACACAGGGACCATTTAGGGCAGTGCTGGACCTGTTTATTTCCCAACCACAGTAGGGTTTCCCTGTTTTTCCCCTGGTGGTCATGAATTTTACTTTCCAAGAAGAAATGTCTATATATAAACGCAACAGGAATGAGTGATAAAAAGAAAGATAAATAATGTTTTAATAAAAGATAGTGTTTGTCATTCTACATGTAAATTTTAAATTAAATCAATGTCGACATTTGACAAATAAAACAAAAATATTACAAAATTAAATATTGTTTTAATTATCTGTATTTTTTATTATTTTGACTTTCATCCCATATATCACGTTTTAGATGTGTTTTTTTTTTTTTTTAATAACCCCATCTCAAAGAGGAAGCTGTTGAGTCATATTGCTCCTGGTTCCCCTTGAGCACATGACGAACAGACACTGAAGTTTAAAAGCTCCCAGCCGCTGCTTGGCCCATCAGTGATGTTGTCAGTCATGTTTGTGAAGCTCAGAGTGTTGGCTCTCATATTCTTCGTGACAAAGGATGTTTACCCCACCTACGCTGGTCAGTATTGCTTGCTTATTTATGATTATGATTGTTGATTTAGGTAACCATTTAAAATTAAGTATGGCATATATTTATTCTATGTTTAGTTTATATTAATAGACTAAATTCTATGTTTTATTTCGGTTTGCTTTTATTCTATTCATTTAAAAGCATTCTTAAGAATGACTAATTTTGACCTTTACAAAATATTTTATTATAATAAAGTGTATTTTAATAATTTCTCAATAATCATTATATGCAGTATCAAAGGGTCCTAAAAGTCTGTGTGTGTGTGACATACCTACATATATGACAAATGATTCTTTCCAAGCAAAACATACAATTCATAGGTTTTAAATGATAAACCACAGATAAGCTGTTAAGAAGTGGCTGTCTGGTTGTCAAAGGTTAGTGGAACATTACCATATGATGCACCTGTGGTTCCTCTGCTATAGGACACCTGTGTGAAATTCAGAGGAACTGACTTCACACATCTACTAAACACCAACCTGACATCAACTGATTAAAAGTAACTTTTACAGTTAATTTTGTGAATAGCATAATTTGTTTGCGCATGTCACTTCTTCAGAAATGTTATTTAGTGCAGCTGCTTTCAAACTGGGTCACGACCCATTGGTGGGTAGCAGACAGGAAATGCATATGCAGCACAAAGTGTACATTTGTTTCAAAAGATATATGTATTTGCATATTCACACTATCCAAGATGTAGATGAGTTTGTCTCTTGATCAGAACAACTCTGGAGATATTAAAGCAATAAGCTTCACGGGGCTTATTGCTTTTATAAAACGATTATTCCATATGCGTTGTAAGGTTTCACAGAATAAAACAGAGCAAATAAAATGTAATGATACAAATAAAAACAGTATTCTTCTACCAAATAATGTAGTTCCTCAGAAACAGTTGTGGTTTCAACAAAGTGGTTGCCGAGCAACACAGAAGTAAACAAAGGTGTATGTTTGTAGAGTAATTTACAACAGCTTTGAACGCGGTTCAACCAATCAGAATCAAGAACCGGAACGATCCGTTTTATAATTAGCATTACATCACTTGCTCAACAATGGATGCTCTGCAGTGAATGGGTGCCGTCAGAATGAGAGTCCAAACAGCTGATAAAAACATCACGATAATCCAAGCAAGTGAAGAGCTGCATGTTTGTAGGAAACAAATCCATAATTATAGCTTTTAAAACATGATTTCAGCTGAAATATGAGTCCATAATCCATAATAACACTTCTTCTAGTGAAACAGTCCATCCTCTGTTCTCCTCTCACATCAAAATCCACCAGCATTTTTGTTTAGAACTGTTTTGGTCTGTATTTGTGCACATTTCTCTCCTGATTCAGACAAGATGACTTTTTCTCTGGAAACAGCAATATTACAGCACCAGTCTGAAGTTTAAAACATCTTGATGGATTTGATTCTTATAAACATGCAGCTTTTCAATTCACAAGATGTTAATTGATGGACTGGAGTTGTGTGGATTGCTTTTGGATTACCGTGATGTTTTTTTATCAGCTGTTTTGACTCTCATAATACTTTATATACTTTATAATTCTTAATCCCAATACTTTATGGAGCCACTTCATCAGATGATAAAAGCTGTATAATGTATTACTGACAGTGTCATATTGTTTTACTTTAGAAACAAAACTGGCTGCACCCCAAAACGTGAAGGTGACCTCCATCAATATGGCTACAGTTGTCGAATGGACTTCGCCACACAATCCCATGAGTAACGTGACATACACAGCAAGATATATGTGAGTACACTCAAAATACATCTGAAATAATCCAATATGGAAGAAAAAAAATGAAACCGCATGCAATTATGAAATATACCTATCACAATGTGTTTGATCAGCTATAAAAAAAATGCACTGAACTATTGTTCTGCTGGAATCTGATACTTCTGAGTTTTTGCAGAAGTTGAAAAGAATCGGCCTATTGTGTGAACAAAATAGTTGCCTTATGTACTTACATAAAGAGTGTGTCCTGTTGTGTTTGTCATTGTGTCCTTGTAGCCTGAGAAAAACAAATGCTTCCATCTGTGTGAACACCAAACAGCTGAAATGTGATGTAGGAAAGCTGCCATCTGTATTTGGGTGCTACATTTTTCAAGTGCGGGCAGAGGATCAGGGGCTGTTCTCTGAGTGGGTTAATGCAAATGAATTTTTACCAAATAAGCACAGTAAGTGTGAATCAGCTCTTAGTTTGCACTATAGGCTCTGTTGTGTTGTTAAGGCAATGTAATATTCATAAATAATAATTATATGAACTACTTTGCTCCAATGTAGCGATCATAGGACCCCCTACTGTGCATCTTGTCATCCAAAATAATACCTTGGATGTGCACGTCCAAGCTCCAGTGCTGAAAGTGGGCAAACTAGCAGTCCTTTTTTCACAAGTGTCCTACATCATCAGATATTGGACCGAAGGCTTTGAAGAGGAGGTATAAAATGCTTCACAACTTCAGTTACATTTTTCAGAAGCTTTGTTATGCACATCTGTTTATGTGCAAGTTAAGATATGTGATTATGCTTAGCCTATGTGTCCTCATTTCAGCAGAGTGATAAACTAAAATTAGAACCATTAAAAAATTAATAAAGTTATTTAAAAAAAATACAGTTAAAATGACAGTAAAATTGCAAAAACCTTACAATTGAAAATTGAAAATATAAAGAAATTAAAGTTATTTTTTGTCACCATTTAGTGAATGGCTTATGCTGGATTGATAAATAGACAATTTTAAGTATTTATTTATTTTTATTAAGAGCTGCCCTACTGGAGAGAGAGAGAGAGAGAAAAGAATCATTACATATGAATGGGGGAAACGATATTTGCAGGTTTTATTCACAAATTCAAAGTTGAGTGCATAAACTTGAGAATAAATTAAAGTATATACCTGGTTGTGAAGTAGGTATATTTGATCTACTATAAAATGTCAAAAAGATCTGGCGTGGAACCACAAACAAATAAATAAATATTTCATACTTATCTTCAAAATAATCATAAGATGACCTTTGTCCCTGTAGGCAACAGAGAAGAAGGTTACTGGAGCCAGTGAAGATGTTAAACTGAGTATTAAAGGACTGCAATCCTGGAGCAGATATTGTGCTCAGGCAATGGTGGTTCCCAAAGGCTACACAAATGGCAAACAGTTCAGTGCTGCCGTGTGTGTGACCAACACACCTGGTAAGTGTGTCTTTACCATAGACTGTATACCTGTGACTCAAAGTATTTCAAAAGAATAAATCAACTCAGGAATTATCATATCTATTCAACAAGGTAGTATAGGTAATTATAGGTAATATTGTGATTTCAAATGATTTCTGTCAACAAATCATGCTGTCAGTAAAATGTACATTGGACCAAATTGATCAAATATGCATTCATTCGAGACAGCAGAGTTAAAGAATACAGATCTCATTAGAGTCTTTTGTTAAACTGATAAGCAACATATCAACATATTTTTTTTTATCAACAAAGTGACTCAAAAGTATTGTTTTTAAAGAAGCTTCAAGGTGACTTCCAGGTGCCAATCTTCCTCTCGGTGTGTGTGTTTGTATTAGTGCTCATCAGCTGTGTGATTGCTGCTGCCATCCTTCTTCCTCTGGCAATCCTGGCTGCCTGGCTGATCTATAAAGTGTACAGATTCCTGTACCCTAAAACCAAACTACCAGAACTTCTCAAGGTATGTGTCTCATGTGGTTCCACTCCACATTATATCTGTAATATACACACATTTTCTTTTTCTGACCATACAAATGTACTATTTATATAGAATGTTATTTTAGTATTATTAAATGGGATTTATTTTTATTTTGAATTAGCTTTTATTTTTATATTTTCAATTTTTATTGTTTGTTTTCGTAATTTTTATGTGCTTTTGTCATTTTTTTTATTAATGCTTTTTTTAAAATATATATATATACATTTCTGTTTAGATTTTATTTTATTTTATTTCAGTTTTACTAATTTAAGTACTTCAATTTAAACATAAATAAAGTTTATTAGAGTACATTTTACAAGAAAATAATTTGAGATACAAGAATATATCTTTTACTTCAAAATTGCACATTTAATTCAGTGTATTAGTTGCTGTTCCTTTGTAATTATTTGTGAAATGTACTAGTCATTTCTGAGTGAAAGTTGTTTCTACACTGTAAAAAAAAATTCAAAGTTGTAAAAAAAACAGATTATTGGAGTGCATTTTAAAAGAAAATGCCATTTCAGGTTTTCTACTTCAAAATTTCACTTTTAATTCAAAGAATTCCTTGACGTTTCTTTGTAATTGTTTGTGAAATGTACTAGCTGAAAGCTGAAATAAAATTTTCAACTTTTGTACCTTCTTTATGTATTTAAAATAAAATTCAATTTTATTTCAGCTTTATTTCAATTGCTGAAAACAATTTTTTTTATATAGTTTTAGTGAACAAAAACATTGTGTATAAACCATATATTTATCATATATTTCTTTCTAGAATTTATTTGTACCAACATTTTGGAATGCTGAGGCGACCCAACATTCTGCACACCAGAAAGAACAGCATGATAAGATCAGTGCCATATCTGAGGACCATCTATATGAAGAGCTCAGCGAGAAAGCCAAGATCTCAGAGGACAAGGACTCTGGGTTGACATCTGTTCTCGCCCCAATTCAAGAGGTGGAAGAGGACTACAAACTCCTGATGCACATGAAACCTGCACCTGCTTTTTACCCTAACCATCTCTATCCGTTATGCTTAAAAAACTCGCTCTTCACTCATTTAAACCAACCCTGCTTCACTAGCACCCAGCCTTGTTACTACAACATAGCAGGCACAAGCCCTGAGCTGAACCACACTGACTGTGTTTGCTGAAGTCCCCAACAAGCTGAGATTATCTTATTTTCTGAAGTAAATATACAAAATAATTGTATATGACTATGCAGTGGTGCAATGCATGGCTGTCTGTTGAATGTATATAATTTCTCACATTGTTTTCTCATGCTAATAATTGAATGCACTTTCTAAGAAACTTATATCATTGTATGTCTATAATTGGTTGCATCGTTATTGTAAAATAGTGAATTTTTTATAAATAAAGTTGAATTTCTCTGATTTGAATTACAGAGTTGAATTATACTTTAGAGTTGGTCCAATTAATTTATAACACTGTCTGATGTTTTTATTTTATTTTATTTCATTTTAGGTACAAACCCTCAACCAGATTTCAAAGATATATTTCAAAAATGTTATATAATATTTTATTACAAACAGCAAAGAGGTGAATAACTGAATACATTTGTCAATTAAGTCTTTAAAACTATTGCTAATGTTTTGGTTTCACACCTTTCTCACACACACACAAAAGCTTTTTTTTTTATTTTCTTTACTTTTTCTTTTCTTTTCAAATGCATAGAAGTTAAAAAAAATTGTTGGACCTTTTTGCTCTTTGTAACCTCAGCGTCTTTTGTTGTCATGGTGACGGGATTGTTGACGTGACCTCGATGGAGAATCAACAGGTACGTTCTTTGAGTTTCTAGTGAGTTTTTAAAGTGCGTTTGATTCAGGTAGAGTTTAATAAACAAATAAAAGGACACCTAAACCAAAGTATTTCAAATAAAACTCTTCTTTTAATGGCGACGTTGCGCGGTTTACAGTATCAACGACCTCTGACTTCCGTTACGTTTTGAAAACAAACCGTTCAGGTATTTGCTCTGATATGAATAATTTCATTTATATATCAGCTGTAAAGTTAAGGAGGAGGGATGGGAATTTTAATCATATTGCACATATCCACAAAACTATAAAAAGATTTTAAAAAATGCATTTGAGAGGTAATAAAAATAACATGGACGTTATGTCTGTTAATCAAGGCTTAAGGTTAAAGTGTATGTGAATGCATAAAGTAAAATATTCCATGTAGTCTCTGAGTTAATTTGAGCACATCAAAACTGCATTTATAATAATTCTACAAGAAATTTGAAAAATGTTGTTTACAAGAGTACACGACAAAGTATTGAATGTCACACTGAAGGATACTGCTTGAATGTCACGTCAACTATCCGCTCACAGGTGTGGATTATTTGTTATGATCAAGAATCTCTGTGAAGTCCAGCTGTCATGGAGGTGGTTCATTCTGCCCCTGAGACCTTCTCCAGGAGCCTAAAGAAGAAAAACCTGCTTCCTCTCAGCCAGCTGCTGGAGGACACCAGAACGAGTGGAAATGTCCCCCATCACCTTCTGGAAACTAGTAAAACCACTTTTTCTAATGTTTGTTTCTTAAACATTAGACCTGTAGCTTTCTAACAGGCCACCAACATTACTGGTCTTATGAAACTGATAGACTTTTGCTATTTCACACTGATGTTTAATTTGTCTTTGTATGTTTATCTTTTAGGTGTGTTTGCCAAACTGAAGAGTAATGGTGTAGTTCAGGCCGAACCATTAGAACTGCATTTCAGTGGCTTTGAAGTAGGAAAGGATTATAGGAAGAATCTGGTTGGTTTTTCACTTCTTGCTAAAAAGAAATAGAATTAATTTTTGGTGTGAAAAGTTTTGTGGAATGTTTACATGGCTCATGTCATGGACAATGTGACCCGAAACAAACGAACAAAAAAAAAAATCATTTTTATTATTGCTAAAGATTTCACTGGAGACTCCATTTTCTGAAACACTTGGCCAAATTTCCGCTGATAGTACAATGCGGTCGGAGGGAAAATTCTCATGGGTTGTAACTGAAAGAAACATTACAGAAGAGGAAGAAAATGGGAGGAAGTATGATGTAATGACAAAAGCTGTTGTTGTTTGTTTTTTTCCCAAGAAACTTGTCAATGTCTCCTCGGAGGTGCTCAGTGTCCACATTTTACCCCCTTTGACAAAGCATTTCCAAATTAAGTACACCAAAAAGGTAACCATCAACCTGCTTTCAAATATTACTTTTACAGACCTGCTATAAAAATTGTATATAATATTCCTAATTATTTTAGTTTCGGAACTCGGCAAAGGTGAATTTAATAAAACCTGTAAAAAATGTTTGGGCAAAATATTTTGTTATTTTTTTAATAAATACATTATATTCATCGTAAAGAAAATAAAGGTAATTTTAGGACCATTAAGATGGTAGTCCTGTTTTAAATGCAGTGCCGACTGGTTCCGGGTCTGGCTTACACAGTTACAGTGCACTTCCAGCCAGATGAGTGGCGTTACTTTTCTGATAACATCAGGATTCACTGTAAGGTGAGAACAAGTTTTCGTCTGATGTTTGCACATGCAAATTCTGACAGGACTTAGAACAGCTGTAACTTGTGTGTGTTTGTGTTGTTTTCAGGGTGAGGAGAACTTACTGGTTCCTGTTCATGCATATCCTGTTATCAATGATCTTCACATCCCATCTCACATTAGTCTTCCCCCAGTGCCACTTGGGCAGAGGTATGCAATGATTAACATATTACACAAATAACATGTGTAAAATAACTGTATGTTAACATTTTTGTTATAAAACTTTCTATGATATATGAGTGTATATACACACTACTGTTCAAGAGTTTGGGGTCAGTACGACGTTTTTTGTTTTTTTTTAAGAAATTGATACTTTTAGTTAGCAAGGATGCATTACATTGATAAAAAGTGACCATAAGACTTTTACAATGTTACAAAAAAATATTTTTTTTAATAAATTATGTTCTTTTGAACTTAAGGCTGCAGAAAATTCAGCTTTGCCATCATTGGAATAAATTATGTTTTAAAATACAGTGGGTACGGAAAGTATTCAGACCCCCTTAAATTACAGGTATTTTGAATTCTAATATTATTTCACTATATTACTGTTTTTACTGTATTTTGATCCAATAAATGCAGCCTTGGTGAGCTTAAGGGACATTCAAAAATCACTCACCTCAATTTTTAAATGGTAGTAAACATAATAAATACGATGGAAATGATATGATAAAGAAAGACATGTTTAGTTATTTTTCCCTCTGTTGATATGTAAATGAAAATGTGAAAATATATGACTTTCTTTTGTTTTTATAGTGCCAGTCATGTGATTCCACTTAGCTGCAGTTGTCCAATAGACTTCGAGTTCCAAGTGCACTGCCTTCAGCCCCATAAAGCCTTCACTGTAAAACCACTGTCAGGTAACATTTGACATATCTGCTGTCAGAGAGTAATGTGAACCAGTATAAAGGCATAAGTATTGATATAACTCTAGTTGGTGATCAAATATATACTAGTGCAGTAGATTTTACATACTGTACTGGTTATCCCAATGTTAAACAGGGATTATTCCAGCAAATGGAAAGACTGCGTTAAAAGTGACATTTACACCTCTGCGATACGGTACAGCTGATATCACATTACAGCTGGTCATCTCTCAGTTCAACTCTAAACCCGTCATCTTCACAGTGACAGGTTCTTCATCTCCATACCTGCTGCTCAGGTAATACACAGAAAAAAAAGTTAAAGATTCCAGTGCAATAGCAATGCAATATCCTAAAAACAATATGCTAAAACACTCATAGCACTTTAGCAACCACATAGCAACATCCTTAAAGTAAAATGTAATGTAAATATCTGAGTTTAGATGCTATTGTGCAAAGACTAATGACATTTGTGTTCTCTGTGCCTCAGTAAACCTGATGGAAATATCGAGGATGATGATCATTTTGGTGAAGAGTGGAAGACTTCTGATGGAAAATCTCCGGCTGTTACATCCCATCATAAGCTTAAAACGGCTCCCTCCTTGGAGAAGGTAATCTGAAACTTCTATTACTTCAATTTTGAAAAGATCAGCTTCAATCACAGTGTATTTTTGTGATGGGTTGGTGCTGCTCTAGCTGGAGGACAAGCCAAGCCATGCTGTTTACCAGCAAAAATATTGGTCTTTCTAGCTGAGCAAGACAACCTGCTCCCAGAACAGAAAACACAGTTGTGCTGATTTTTTTCAGCAGGGTCTGAAAAGTTTTAAGCTGTACAAATGCAGGAATTTGAATTAGCTGAGGTCAATTGCATTTCTGCCCATTAAAAAAACAGTAGCTGAGAGGTTTGTGTGAGACTGAATTACAAATTAAATTTTATTGTTTGCACACTGAGCTTCCTGAATTGAATTTGAATTGATACCCTGCCAGTCATCAAATGTGGACAACACATACACAGAATTACACTTATAAACCAGCAAAGCTTTTAGCTGTGGTATTGTTTAAAGTAATTTCTATATTGCAATTTCTATAATACAGTTACAGTAAATCTGATTTAAAAATATATAATGAAATGATGAGTGTTGGTAATAATAATAATAATAATAATAATAATAATAATCCCAGAACAGAAAACACAGTTGTGCTGATTTTTTTCAACATGGTCTGAAAAGTTTTAAGCTGTACAAATGCAGGAATTTGAATTAGCTGAGGTCAATTGCATTTCTGCCCATTAAAAAACAGTAGCTGAGAGGTTTGTGTGAGACTGAATTACAAATTAAATTTTATTGTTTGCACACTGAGCTTCCTGAATTGAATTTGAATTGATACCCTGCCAGTCATCAAATGTGGACAACACATACACAGAATTACACTTATAAACCAGCAAAGCTTTTAGCTGTGGTATTGTTTAAAGTAATTTCTATATTGCAATTTCTATAATACAGTTACAGTAAATCTGATTTAAAAATATATAATGAAATGATGAGTGTTGGTAATAATAATAATAATAATAATAATAATAATAATGTTTGTACATAGAAAAATTAAAGCATTTCTTCTGGTTGAACTATCATGCAGCAATTATAGAGTGATTCATCATGCATACAGTTGCATTTTTCTGTTTTTACTCTAACAGGGCAGCAAGAAGAAGACCAAACCTGATCCTCAACTGCAGGTTTCCACCACAGATGTCACCACTCGTGCAGGACTGGTTAAAATGCTTCTCCAGCCACAAGACAAAATGAGATACAAGGACCTTCGGGAGGGTAAGAACACCATTTCTCATTCAGAGGGCCTCTGAGGT